GAGGGGTGGTGGTGTGCACAGGTTTGAACTTGTTCTGAGGCTGAAGCTGTTGGTTTGGGGCTTTGACACTGGGTAAGGATGACAATTTTTCCCGGGTCCCCTGAGCTCTACAGTCATCTCAAGGGTGTAACTTGATTTCCTAGGTGAGGCTCGGAAGGGATCCCCTAAGGAAAAGCCAGGGTATTTGCAGACCTCTCATTTTCTGGAGAGACACAGAGGAGGGTTTCTCCTGGGGGTCACTTACTGCCTTTAGGAATGTTTTCTTCCGGGGTTGGGCTACTTTGAGGAGGTGGCACCAGGGGGAACCCTCACAGGGGGGGCCAGGGGGAAGGAGTGGAGGAGAGCACAGACAGCAGTCAAGAGGCGCCTGAGAGGGGGCCTCTTCCGGAGCCTGGAATCAGTGTCCACGTTGAGAGGATGCTGCGTGCCTGACACCGTGCCTGGCCTGGGGAGGCAGCAGCGAACAGGGCCGGCCCGGGCTCCGGAGAGCTGTCAGCCTGGTAGGAATGGATTTCTGAGCAGCTCATTTATGTAGAGGAACTGAAAAGGAAAGGGAGCAGAGGCCTGTGTTGGATCATGTTGCTAAGCTTGTATTTGGGTCCCTTTGATCTTCCTCCCTGGGCAGATGGGGATCTGTGAGGCCCACAACCTTGGTGGCAGCCTCACAGCTTTCTCAGACAGAACCAGCAAGCGCGTTTTCCTGAGGCCCTTCCCCATGCCCCAGTCCCTCCAGCTGCTTGCATTAATAAGTGTCGTAAACGCAGCATCTGTTCAGAGCAAGCTCCATCAGTTTGTCCACAAACACAGGTTCTCCGACGAAGTCTCCCCAGATAAGCCTAAAGGGAGGCGGCGCATCTGGATGAACACTCTGTGGGCTCTCTGCCCAGGGTTCTTGGGCGCTCAGTGTGGTTTCATTTCCTGTATCTTTGATCATTGCAAGAGGCCATGACCAGCCTGGACTGGGCTAAGGAAACATGCCCTCTAAGAAGGGGTTTCAATGGATGTTCCTTAGGGCATATGGAGGTGGTATTAAGAAAGGTATAGCCCTGGCCGGTTTGGCTCTGGATAGAATGTCAGCCTGCGGACTGAAAGGTCCTGGGTTTGATTCCGGTCAAGGGCATATGCCCAGGTTTCAGGCTTGATCCCCAGTGCAGGGTAGGGTATGCAGGAGGCAGCTGTTCAGTGATCCTCTCTTACCATTGATGTTTCCATCTCTCCCTCTCTCTTCCTCTCTGAAATCAATAAAAATATATTAAATGAAAAAAAAGAAAGGTATAGACATCAGTCAGTTTAAAATGAACACTTTTCTAACTGAGCTACAGTGAGGAAGGCCAATTTTTGGAAACATCTTCACTCATATGAAACGTTAAATATTATCTGACTTTTGGGCCAGATACAAATATTAAAATTTTCTGTAGAAAATAATGAAATATTTGATTATTATTCTATGGCAATCTATTTCCAGGAGGGTGGGGGATCTTCAAAGCAATAGAGCTCTCTCTTTTCCAGGTTGGGAAGAACTAAAGCCAGTCTGGGTTGGATAGGAAAGGTTGGAGGGAATGGGAAAAATGAGGAGGGAAGATGGGGCAGTGTCTTGTAGCTGAAAGCACAGGTGTGGGACATCTGTGTCATTGGTAGTTGGCTCATCTGTGAGCTATGATGATCAAATCTCATGACAATTTAAATTTTATTTTGTAAATAACACATTTATGTGATACAAAAATAAAAAGGTACCAAAAGGCTTAGAGTGAAAAGTCTCCCTTCCTCACTCTGTGCAGTTTCCACCCACAGGCAAGTAGTATTTCCAGTTTCTCATGTATCCAGAGGTATTTGTAATCATAGCAGCAAAAGTGTGTATAGTCTCTTCCTCCAATTTCAAACATTCAGAAAAGTTGAAAGAATAGTCTAATGAATACTGTAAACTTGCCCCTCAGGTTCAACAATTGACATTTTGCTATACTTATTTGTACATGGATGGATGTGTGGGTTTTTTTGTTTTGTTTTTTGCCTGAAGCATTTGAAAGTTGATTATAGACATTTCGACTCTTCACCCCCAAGTACTTCAGCACACAGCTCCTAAAAGTAAGAACTGCCTCCTACTGTTCCTGCAACCACGAAGGTGAAGGAGGGCTCCCTAAATCATCCAGTATCTAGTCCAGAAGTATTTATATTTCTCAGATGTTCCCCAAATGTCATACATCTGCTTTTTTCAACAGTAACGCAATCACCATTTTTTAATGGCGGTGTGCTATATACACCTTGCTTTTTTCCCCTTAAAAACATATCTTAGAGATTATCTCACATCAGTAGATAAGTTTCCTTTTTTTTGGCACATGTGCCCTAATCCATTTAACCAGCCTCTGTGGTGATATTTAAAAACTTTTATTATTATGAGGAGGAATAGTAACAGTAATAACAGCAGCCATTGCTTGAGCCCCTACTCATGCTAGTTGCGTGCTGGACCCCTGACATGTTATGACATTTAAACTTCAAGTGACCCTCTAAAGTGGGTATTATCCCCCAAATTTATAGATGGGGACACTGAGAGCCAGGGTTGTTAAACTGAATTCACTTTGATGACCCTAGACCAGTGATGGTGAACCTATGACACGTGTGTCAGAGGTGACACGCGAACTTATTTTTTTTGGTTGATTTTTCTTTGTTAAATGGCATTTAAATATATAAAACAAATATCAAAAATATGTCTTTGTTTTACTATGGTTACAAATATCAAAAAATTTGTCTATGTGACACGGCACCAGAGTTAAGTTAGGGTTGTTCAAAATGCTGACACGCTGAGCTCAAAAGATTCGCCATCTCTGCCCTAGGTAGTTGTTTTCCCAGACTGTCTGGGCTTGTCTTTTTTTTTTAAATAAAGC